AAGTAGGTGCTTTAGACCACTGAGCCATCTCTCCAGCCCCTGTAGCATCTTCTTAGGCACACAAGTATTCTGCATGAACTGGTCAATAATGGACAGAGTCATGTACATGGTCTCCTGTAGCAACTTGAATTTCATCTGAACCTGTACTAGCCAATCAATTAGGATGGCTCGCATGTTTCCAGTGATTTTTCGACCAGTAAACATTTTGGTCTGACTGTTCTTCCTCAAGTTGTCAGAAATAAGCATAGATATCTTTCACTTCTTCACTACAGAGGTTTGGATCTGGCTCCATCTTCATTCTCTATCCACATCATTCAGAGCCAGAATGATATAAGAGAAAGCCTGACACAGATCTTCTTCAGCAGGGGCACATCCAGAGGTTTTCATGGGGCTTGGAGAGGAAGTATCAACCAAAATGCATTCAGGAGAAAGTTTTTCTTCCTTAACAGGCACAAGTTCAGGCTCTGGCACACACATAAGCAATTTTTGCTGAGGTTTCCGTAGTTTTTTAGCAGTAACTTTTCCAGTCGTCAAAATTTTTGCTTCATTTTTCAGGGGCACTATGGCTTGCAGCTGCTCACTGACTTTGTTATTGATGTCTCCGAGAGCTGTACTTTGCCTCAACCTGGTTCGGAGGCTGCAGTACTGACCAAGGGCACATGTTTTGTGCCTGCCATACTGACTGTGGCCTTATTTTCAGCGTTTTCATATTTCAGGTGACTTGGAGCGCCATGGCTTCCTCTTCACTGGACAGCAGCAGAACACCAGACCCCAGGAGAGCCTGGGCGCACACCCACCGGAGATAAACAGTCCTTCCTCTGCAGCATGCCATCATTTATTTTTAGACTAGGTCATGAATGACTTTATTTTACTTATTTAATTTATTTTGGCGGAATCAGGGATTGAACTCAGGCCCTAGCGCTTGCCAGGCAAGTGCTTATTCTACTGAGCTGTCTCCCCGGCCCCACTGTATTTTAAAAACTACAATAATATATGAAGTGCTCAAAAAAGATTAAGTTGAAACAACCAAAAAAGCAAGTTCTCTCTAGATGTGGTGGCACAAATCTCAACTACTTAGAAGGCTAAAGCAGGAGGATTTTAAGTCTGCATCCAGCCTGGGCAGCTTGTGAGAACATCTCAAAACAAACAAAAGAGGGAGATATAGCCTAGTAGTAGGGCACTGGCACTAAAAGATATACTGCCATGACTCAGTTTAATTCCTAGCATCACACACACACTCACAAGGTGAGTTCTTAAGATCTGTGAAAACATTAAAGAAACCCACAAAAAAAGAAAAGAAAAACAAACAAAAAAGAAATCCACAGTTATATACAAAGGATCAGGTAGTCAGCAGGTAAAACAGCTATATATAAACATGTTAATGCACAGCTTTTAAGAAGAGCAAGAGGGCAGGTGAGATGGCTCAGTGGTCCAAAGCACCTACTTAGAACAAGCTTAGCAAAGCACAGGGACTGCGGTTCAGTCCCCCAGCACCACATGCCAGCCAGCCCCACCCCCTGGTGGGCTGAGCTGGCCACACACACACACACACACACACACACACACAAATAAAATTATTTTTTTTAAAAAAGATCAGTTTAAAAAAAAAGAAGAGCAAGATTCTACATATCTTGTGTATGTATACATTATTTACTGATATGGGAGCTTGAACCCAGAGAAAGCTTTGGACTTGCTAGGTAGGTACTTTACCATGTAAATACATCCCCAGCCTTTGATATATTTTCTTGCAAGTTATTTTTTAAATAATTAACCTAAGTAATGAAACTATCATATTCAAATTTGTGGATTATTTTGTCATTTAACACTTAGAAATTGAGTGCAAAACTCAAAAACAAAAAAACAAAAAACCACCAAAAAAAACCCCCCAAATACTAGACCTGAGAAAACTCAGGAAAATGTGACTGCCCATTGTTGTTTACTGACTTGTTATTAAATGATCTTTTAAGATGCACTGGTTGTTTTTTATAAGCATAGAAATTAAGGGCTGGCCAGATAGTTCAGCAGGTTAACACACCTGCTTAGACAGGCATGGGGTGGTGGGGATGGGGAGGAGGCTGAGGGGTAATCCCCAGTGCGCCGTGCGGCCCTGCCCCTGGGGCATGCTGAGACACTGAGTCTGGGAGTGGTGGCACTCATCTGTAATCCCAGCACTTGGGAAGCTAAAAACAGGAGGATCACGAGGAGTCTGATTTGTGCAGTGAGACCCTATAGACCTTGTACTAAATACATTTAAAAAAGGAAAAAAAAAAAAGGAATTAAATTCTACTAATGAAGCTTATCTTATTAAAACTCATCCTATGCCAAATAACAAGTTAAAAGTGGGCTTCATGAAAACTAAAAACTTTGGTGCTCAAAGGACACTATCAGGAGGATGAAGTGACAACCCACTGAGTGGAAAAATATTTGAAAATCATGTATCTGAAGAGGGACTTATATATAGAATATACAGAACACTATTATAACTCAACAACAAAAAGATAATTTAACTAAAAATGGGCAGTGAATTTAAATAGATTTAGCCAAGGAAAATATATAAATGGCCAATAAACCCATGAAAAGAGGTTCAAAATAATTATCAGTGAAATGTATCAGAACCTTATACATGTCCTAAGATGGCTAGTGTTGCAGATGGATTTTCTGGTATTGCAAACAGGACCACAGAAACCAGACTTCTGCAAATTTTTTCAGCAAGGCAAACTTTACACCTTTCTGCAGAAAGGTGCCCTGCTAGACAAAGGCCAGGGATACTGAACCACTGGTTCACTAGCACTTTACCACTGGCACTAAAACATATACACAGTGGCCACTGTGCCCTGATCTACTGGGGGGAGGTGGCCTCACAATCTAACCAAACTGGCTACTTTAATGATTAAGTGGTTGGCAGACAAAGTATTGTGATACAGTCCTTTGGTCCAAGGTTGTATGGCAGTTAGGCATGTACCCCTTTGTTTAAGTTTTCAAGGCATGGTGAAACAAAACATGCACATTTTATAAAAATTGGGATTTTTATAAAATTGAGTTATTTTAATTATTTCCTTTGACAGAAAATATCTTTTCCCACACTAGGAACAAAGTCAGATTATACACACTGGTAAGGAGACGAAAAAAATGGAACCCCTGATGCCTTCCTAGTGTGAATGTAAAATGGTGTGGCCACTTTGGGAAATGGTCTGCTGGTTTCTAAAAATGTTAATAAACATGGTTACTGCAAGAGTAATTCTTTTTTTTTTTTGGTGGAACTGGGGATTGAACTCAGCCCTTGTGCTTGACAGGCAAGTGCTCATTCTACTGAGCCATTTCCCCGGCCCTGTGAGAGTAATTTTATATACCCAAGAGTAAGGAAGATATATATCCACATAAAAATTTATTTATGAATGTTCACAGCAGAATTATGATCATCCAGAGGTGAAAACAAGGCAGCTCCATCAATGGATGGATAAACAAAATATATACATACAATGAAATTTTCTTTGGCAATAAGAATAAATTGCTTTTATTTACTACAACATTCTCAAAGCTTGAAAACATGTTAGGTGAAAAGGAGCATATATTGCATGTTTCCATTTATGAAATACTTAGAACACATGAGCCCACTGAGAGGGTTTAAGTGGTTGCCATAAATCTGGGGAAGGGAAAAATGGAAAATGACTGCTGTTGATACAGAATTTTTTGGAATACTCTAGAATTGGTGGTATTGCACTACTGGATGAGTAACACTAAAAGACTACAACACTGTACCTGTCTACCTATTTTTTAATTAAAAAATCTTTATTTATTTGGTACAGGGTCTCACCACACAGTTCAGACTCATAGAGATCCTCCTGTCTCAGCCTCCCCAGTGCTGCAGGCACTTAGGATTGCTGAGCTATCTACCCAGCCCTGTGTTGTGTATTTTTAAGATGAGCTTCAAGTAGTAATACTGCCATAAGGCTGTTATAAAATTATTATTCCTAAATCTTATAGCAGATCTTTTTATTGATGGAGTGTCTAAAGTTTCCAAAATACTTGGATTTCAACTTACCTCAAAGTTTATCTCCCATACTTCTTCCTCATATTTTTTGTAGTCCATTGGTTTCTGAAATAATATTGTAGTATTAATGAATAAACCACTCATAGCTACACAGTGTTGTTTTAAGGCACTTTTTCTCATCTCCACAAAAACTTGTGCATGTACTTGATGATATCCATTTAATTATTTCAGATCAACACAGGAAAATCTGTTTTACTGTTCACATTTCAACTGTAAGAATCCTTAAATTGATACTATACACATTAATAATAGTTTATTGTAAGAAAGTGACACCTCTTTTCTCTTTAAAGCATGCACAGTGATGAATACTCTTAGAAGAGAAACAATACATTTTATAAAACTAGTTTATTAAGTGGAGCTTCTTTTAAGCAGATGCATATATGTGCATATCTCTGCTTTAAAGGCAAAGTTGGCAGTAAAGATTACGGACACAAACTGACATCCCAGATTCTGCTGAAGGAAAGAAGTAGCTATGTTGAGCATAATACTCAATGTATCACTGTTTATGATTACTAAAGTGAATATTAAAAACTTATGAGTGAACTGTAAAATAAAAATGTCTTGTGATGTAAAACGTCACTATGATGCATACTGTAGTCATCTACAGGAAAAATGAAACCATATCTAAAATACTAAAAATGGAAGTAGCAGGAAACTGGAATGTGGTATTTATTGAAGCTAAATCCAAAATATGGCAAGAAATTTCTTGTGAGGAGGCAAATGCGAGAAACACTACACAGGCCAAGGCACTTTCGTACTTGGCAAAAGAAGTGACTTAGAATTTGAAATACTTTTTTAAAAAATGTATTTATATTTGTGTGTGTGTGTGTGTGTGTGTGGCCAGCTCAGCCCACCAGGGGGCGGCGCTGGCTGGCATGTGGTGCTGGGGGATTGAACTGCAGTCCCTGTACTTTGCTAAGCTTATTTTAAGTAGGTGCTTTAGACCACTGAGTCATCTCACCAGCCCTGAAATACTTTAATTACACAGACTTCTCTGATTTAGCATCCTAGCATGAAAATTAAAAACACTCCAAGATGACACTATTTTTTTTTTTTTTTTTTTTGCAGTACCAGGAATTGAATTTGGAATCTTGGCACTTGCCAGGCAGGCACTTAAGCCACTGAACTATCTCCCAGCCCGTATCTGATACTTTTTGAGTGTCATGTTGGGACTCAGAAAGTTCTGAATTTAGGGGCACACTTTTAGATTTTGTATTTTCAGATTAGGGATGCTCACAACATGTGATACCACGTTCTACATCAAGTCAAAGGAGAAAGCATTTCATCTGGGGAGAGAGAAGTTTTTTGGTACTAAGTTCAGATTTCATAAGCATATCCCTTATTCTTTTTTTCTATCTTTTTTTTTTTTTTTTTTTTTGCAGAACCAGGGATTGAACTCAGACCCTTGCACTTGCCAGGGAAGCGCTTATTCTATTGAGCCATCTCCCCGGCCCCCACATATCCCTTATTCTAAAGACAGTAACATCTAGGTGTCTCATTAGGGTTTTTGTTATTACTATTTTTTATAGTGTGGGTCAAACTCAGGTTCTTGTGCTTGCCAGGCAGGCGCTTATGCCACTAAGCTATCTCCCAGGCCCTGTCTCATTAGGTTAGTGGAAACAAAAACATGAGTGGAGTTGAGATAGGACATGAGGGTGTGGCAAAGCTGGCAAGAGAAGCATTGTGACCTGTTAACTAGATCCAGAACACATGCAGAGGACAGCTCCCAAAGCCCTGCACCTGGACCTCTACCAAGAACTGGAGAAAGTTTTCATAGGATGGCTCAGACTTGATGTCAGTGTGGATGATTCCAAAAGGACGGTCCATGGTGAGTTTTTGGTGCTATCTCTTCTCTCCCACAGTGGCCCCCCTCATTCACTTCTTTTCCTACTTCTTCTTGCCCCAAACTCACTCTGCAGAGCCTGTTTCTTTTCCTATCTTTAATGAAATTTCATTATCATTTGTGCTGGTCTTGACCAATTCTTCGCTCAGGACACAAAGAATCTAGAAACCACATTCAGGAGACTCTAGCATCTTAAACCCACTAATAAAATCTTAATGTGAATAAAATCTTTTTTATTAGCACATATATAAAGCATAACACAAAGTATTGCTTTTTCAACAAATTCTCATCTTAGACTCTTAGATCAATTATTAAGAATCATGCTTAAGACCTAAGGTATAAGACAAAATGTAACAGTTTAAACCGGATTTTTATTGAAAAATAGTTCACTTACTTCTTTAAATACCTCCTCAGAATATTCAAAACTGCAATATTTATGGTGTGCCATAAAATAGGAAAGTGACATTCCATCAAAATAGAGATGAATATTCAATTTACCCCATGGATTTTCAGGCAATTCCTATTTCAGTTCAACAAAGAAGATTGTTAATATAAAAATAAAGTCTATGTATAAACTCTTCTAGTGAGCAAATATAAAATTAGGCTTTTGATAACAACAGATAATAACAGTACAACCAATTTGAATAGTAGCTTATTTCAAAGAATTTGCTTCCTGAGAAGCCAAGGATATAGTTTAGTGGCTCAAGTGCCTGCCTGCCTGATTTGGGTACCAAAAAAGAATAGAGAAAAGAAGAATTTTCTTCCTGGTATTTTGGCATGTTATAAGGCAGTGATTTTCCTCCTGTGATTTGTGTTAAAAAATATCTACATATACTATGGAGTTTCCTGGTTATTTACCAGAAGCTATAAATAATTTACTATATACATCACCTTTAGATGAATATAACAATTTATACTAAATAGGAAGAAAAAAAAAGAACAAAGAAAAATGAAGAGTACTTTACAAGATCCCCAAATGGCAATAGAGAAAATTAATAGTCTAATAGCAAGTTATGATAATGGCTTTAAAACTCTGAATAAAGCCCATCACAATTTGTAGGTACTGAATGGGCCTATAAACTTCTAAGTCTCTGTCCAAATCCATCTCCTGACTGGGTTACAGTAACTGCCTCTTCAGAGACTGCCCTGCTATTCTTTGCTACTATCCAGTCTTCTCTCCATATAGCAGCCAGAAGGAAAGCCTGCACTGTACCTTTTGTCAGATCCTGTGTGTGCTTCTGAGTGGCACAGGCCTAGCCACTCCTCCTGCACACTGCTGCTCCCAATCTCAGGGCCTTGGCACTTTTGGGCAACCACAATTGTCCTCTTGACTCATAATGCTACCTGACCACTGTGTTTAACACAGAACCTCCTCCCCACCACAGCTCCCTTTTCAGCCTTTCCTGCTTTTTCTGCCAACAAAATATTGCTAATTAACAGACATTATGTTTTTGTCTTGATTTAGTGGCTTCCACCACTGAAAGATAAGCTCCAGGAAGAGAGGTGTTTCTGAATGCTGCATCCTGGCTCCATCTCCAGGTCAAGCCCAGCAAGTTTTGACAGAGACAGCCAAGAAGACTGGGTGGGCAAGGAAGTCAAGAGGGCTGGGAGGGCGGTGTAGCACATACAGTGTAAGAAACCGAGCATCATTTAATGTACTACAAAGGGGCTTTCTAACTATGCTAACTGTCAAACCTACTGAAAAATTGTTTCTTTCACATCAGTGATCTACTGTGGGGTCTGCAACTAGGAGGGGCTCTTATCCTGAACCATTTTCTTATTTAGTGGATCTGTAACCTATAATCCCAGCACTCAGGAGACTGAGGCAGGAGGATCACTGCAAGTTCAAGATCAGCTTGGACTACAAAGTGAGCTCAAGGCCAGCCTAAATTCCATAATGAGACCCTGTGTCAAAAAGATCAAAATAAGTAAAATAAATTATGATCCGGATGTATTTCACCCAGCCTTACTCATTAAGAGGGCTAGCCTGAGGCTATTTGAGGACTGAGTGGAAAGAGACAAAAATGGTAAAGAAACTTATTACAGGTATGTGCCATCACACTTGGCCCAGGTCGTAATTTTATAATGAAAAAAAAATTTGCTTTTGGATTATGTTAGCCAGCTGGGTAGCTGCATGGGGCAGATATAGGAAGTGCTCAAACCCCTCACTTGCATGACTAATGGCAAGGTGAATGCACATGTGAGAAATTAGCAAGTGGGTTTTATATACTTTATGCTTCATGTTACATTTTTTCATTTATAATTTTTTTAAACACAAGGGTCTTATTATATAGTTTAGGCTGACCCTGAACTCAGTATGTTGCCCATGTCAATCTCAAGTGAGCCTTTTTGACTCAGCCTATGAGTGCTGGGATAATAGGTATGTGCCACCATGTCCGACCTAGTTGTAATTTATTAAATGTTTGTCTTGAGTTTTCTTGTGAATTAGCCCAATTCAGTATCATGTCACATGAAAACCTACTTTTACAACTTGGGGAGGAAACTAAAAGTGATCCATCAATGATTCAGCTACCAATGATGATCATGTACTGTTCTTGTGATCTGGCAATTCCACTCTTAGGTATATATTTGAAAGAAACAAAAGCATACACTTGTACAAAGATAGCGTAGCTGGTAAAACAAAGAACTAGAAAAAAACTTGTTCTAGAATATTCTTTGCAGTTGTATCTATGATAGGCAAGAATTGGAAACTAGATGTTCACCAACAAAAAAGACTGAATAGGGCTGGAGAGATGGCTCAGTGGTCTAAAGCACCTACTTAGAACAAGCTTGGCAAGGCATCAGGGACCGCGGTTCAATCCCCCAGCACCACATGC